CACGTTGCTGTAGTTCTTGTTGCGACCAGGCGCTCCGCTATGCTAGTGAAGTTCTCTAGGCAATGATCAATCGCGTTCGCGATAGCTGTGATGATGCTGTGTCTAGTTTTGGCGGCCTCTTGGGCTGCCGTGATCTTCTCCGTAACCGCGCCCGTCACCAGTTGTCTCTTGTTAGCACTACCACCGAACGATATAGGTATAGGCGCTGCTTCGGCTTGCCTGTGTCTTTTTGTAGTGCGTAGGTTAGCTAGGCTAGGGGTATTTGGGTCCTCAGGGCGCGTGTGTGTCACTTCTGGAGGTCGAAGTGTCTGCCCTGGGGTACCTGGCACCGCCATCTCTCTGTCAGAGGGAGGGCTGGGCCCGATATGAGTTGTGAGTTGCCTTATTAGGCGCTTTAGGAGTGATTTCTAACAAAAATTTAATTGTTTTGAAGGGTACCATAAAATCACAAAGTTGGTGTTCGGTGCCGTCCGCGCGGAGAAATTGCCGGACTGCACACTCTATGCCTTAAATTGACTTTCTAAGACGGCAGTCTTCATCTTCGCCTTCTCAGCTCACTTTTTGACCCGCCGAGCTCTTGGCGACTGTACGTAGCCGCAAACGAGCAGGGGGTTCTTAGAGAGGGTTGGTCGACAGCACTAAGAAAAAGAGCAACAGCACAGTTGGCAACGCGTTCTATAATGTTGGATAGGGATACAGTAAGAGGGCAAGTGCTAGAGAATAGATGGACACTGGACTGACCAATTTACATACATCGTGTGAGCATGCCGGGTGTCCGGAAAAAAAAGTGTCCCATTACACCATTACACGCAGCTCCGCAACAATTTTAAACAGCCCCACCTTCCGTACATAGCATAGCGCGAGCAGTCAACTAATCGCCGTATCAAAGCTTGGGTTTATGCTGTTGTAACGCACAGCCAGCAGCCGTTTACACGTGCAAGTTCTATAGTAACTAGTAAGAGAGAACCTGGCACGAAATGATGAGACCAAGTATCTGCTGTTAACAGTAGTTACTATCGTGTGTTCTAGTAGACTTTTTGAAGCACCACATGTAGATACGTGAAGTAGTAAAGCGTTGTACGATCTATTGCATGTATAGAAGGTCAGTAATTACCTAGCCTTAATAACCTCTTGTTAGCGCGGTAAGCCATAATCAGCCTCGCGCCTGTTGTAATGCCTAAAGCTATGCGGGGTCGGCACGCGAATCGTTACTTCGGCTACGGCTGGGCGACCCCGCACGTCTCACATAATCATCTTTGGTGTAACTAACTAATTTATTAGCTGTGGCTAAAGGACTTGTAGCTGCGCAGCGCCGTTTGTAATGCAGCAGCGCTTAGCTGTATCAGCTCTCTCAGCCTTGTGCAGCTGACAATGGATCGCAGCACTACCCTCAGCCTGGCAGCGGCCTGGAAGCTCCATTAACCTACAGCGACGCGAGGCGCGATCGATCAGTCAACTTCATCGCGGTCGCAGACCTCGCATCATGGACGGCCTTTCGGGCGCAGCAAGCGTCATTGCGGTAATCGACATATCCACCAAGATCGTCTCGCTATGCTTCCAGTACTCCACAGCTGTCAAGGATGCGAAGGGTGATATCGAACATGTGCAGAGAAAAGTTGGCGACATCACCCACATTCTGGAGAAGATCATACAATTCCTCGGCAGCCAGGACAAGGCGCGACTCTCTACCACTCAGGGCCTATTTAGCGCGCTCGAACAATGCCGAGAGGAGCTAAAGAGCCTAGAAGCAAAGCTAGATCCAGGAAAGTCTCGCAAGACTATGAGCCGGTTCGGCTTCCGTGCGCTTAAATGGCCGTTCACGAGCAAGCAGGTGAACAAGATTGTTTTAAACCTAGAAAGATACGAGCAGACATTCAGCTTGGCGCTGCAGGTCGATCAGATGTAAGCTTCTATAGCCAGATCTGCTGTACGCAGACCCAGCTTCTCACTAACTATATAGCGTCGCTGTTTTCAGCATAGACCAGAAGCTGGATCTGGCCAAACTACCTGTCGCGATAGGCGCCTCCTTCAATTCCCACAACGAAGAGCACAACGCACGATGCCTGCCAAACACCCGCACCGAGCTGCTAGATGAGATCACAACATGGGTGAACAACAAAGATGGCAAGTCCATATTCTGGCTAAGCGGCATGGCGGGCACGGGAAAGTCAACAATTGCGCGGACGGTCGCTCAGTCGTTCGCTAGTCGAGGGCAACTTGGAGCCAGCTTCTTCTTCAAGAAAGGCGAGGGTGAGCGCGGCAATACCTCACGGTTCTTTGCCACCATTGCCACGGATCTAGTCGCCTGCGAGCCAGGCATGCTACCAGGCATCAAGGAGACGCTCGACGAGGACTCGGCTATCTCACACAAAGCTCTAAAAGATCAGTTTGAGAAGCTTATTCTACAGCCACTTCTGGGGGTAAAGCAGACTCGCTCGCGGGCCTTGGCGCGAGTTATCGTGATCGACGCCTTAGACGAATGTGAACGAGAAGCAGACGTTCGGGCGATCCTTCAGCTGCTCGCTCGGACGAAAGATATTCGCCCAGTGCCGCTACGGATTATGGTCACTAGTCGGCCAGAGCTTCATATCCGCTTAGGCTTTAAGGACATGCCGAACGGCACATACCAAGACCTAGTGCTCCACGAAGTACCAAGGAACACGATTAAACATGACATCCGTCTGTTCTTAGAGCATGAGCTTAGTATAATACGAAAAGAACGCATGCTGGCCTCAGACTGGCCAGCGCCACAACAGATCCTCGCGCTAGTTGAACTGGCTGTGCCACTGTTTATCTACGCTGCTACCGTATGTCGGTATGTTGGTAGTAAAGGAAGCAATCCTATGGTTTTTTTAAATAAGGTCCTGCAGTATCAGAAGCCAACCTTTTCGCAGCTCGATCGGACGTATCTCCCTGTGCTCGATCAGCTGCTTAGTGAGCAGGAGGAAGATGAGAGGGAGATATGGCTTCAGGCTTTCCAAGAGGTTGTTGGTAGTATTGTTGTTCTCGAAAGTCCGCTCGCTGCTATCTCGCTTGCCCGCCTACTGCAAGTATCACAAGAAGAGATTCAGTGTCGACTTGACTCTCTACATTCTGTTCTTAGTGTTCCTAATAAAAAGGATGCGCCTATTCGCCTTTTGCACTTGTCCTTTCGCGAGTTCCTCGTCGACCCCCAAAAGCAAGAAAAAAGTCCGTTCTGGGTAGATGATAAAAGGACCCACCAAAAGCTTGCATCTTGCTGCCTCAAGCTTATGTCTGGATCTGGCGGTCTTCATCAGGACATGTGCGGCCTTCCAGGCACTGGAGTGCTAAGAAGCGAGGTAGATGAGCAGGTAGTTGCTACTAGGCTGCCACCTGATCTACAATATGCGTGTCGCTACTGGGTTGACCATCTCAAGCAGAGTGGGCAAGGCATCGTTGACGGGGACGCGACGCATCTTTTTCTACAGAAGCACCTTCTTCATTGGCTTGAAGCTATGAGCCTTATAAGAGAATCGAGCAGATGCGTTACCTTGCTCGACAGTCTTCAGGCGCTCACTAGCGTAAGATCTTTACAAAATACATTTCTCTTACTCTACTAACGTACAACGTAGCCCTCTGCAAAGCTAGTTTTAAGCTTTCTTCACGACGCTAAGCGGTTTGTGCTGCGGTTCCAATCTATGCTTATAGATGCGCCGTTGCAGATCTATTGCTCGGCACTAACATTCGCACCAGAGAAGAGCGTGATACGACAAACATTTGTAGGCCAAGTGCCAGAAAAGGTCAAGATGCTATCTAAGAAAGAAGCAGATTGGGACGGTTGTCGCAGCACGCTCGAGGGCCATTCTGACTATATTAGCGCGATAGCCTTCTCGTCGGACGGGCAGCTAGTCGCGTCGGGATCTAGAGACAAGACAGTACGGCTGTGGGAGACAGCAACAGGGACGTGTCGCAGCACACTCGAGGGCCATTCTGACTATGTCAGCGCAGTGGCCTTCTCACCAGATGGACAGGTAGTCGCGTCATCTGGCGGCAAGACAGTACGGCTGTTGGAGACGGCATCTGGCGACAAGACTGTACGGCTGTGGGAGACGGCAACAGGGATATGTCGCAGCACGCTCGAGGGCCATTCTCAGGAAATCAGCGCGATAGCCTTCTCACCAGACGGACAGCTAGTCGCGTCGGGATCTAGCGACAAGACAGTACGGCTGTGGGAGACGGCAACAGGGATATGTCGCAGCACGCTCGAGGGCCATTCTCAGGAAATCAGCGCGATAGCCTTCTCGCCAGACGGGCAGCTAGTCGCGTCGGTATCTAGAGACAAGACAGTACGGCTGTGGGAGGTAGTAACTGGGACGTGTCGCAGCACGCTCGAGGGCCATTTTAACTACGTCAGCGCGATAACCTTCTCACCAGATGGACAGCTAGTCGCGTGGATATCTAGAGACAAGACAGTACGGCTGTGGGAGACGGCGACAGGGACGTGTCGCAGCACACTCGAGGGCCATTCTGACTATGTTAACGCGATAGCTTTCTCACCAGACGGACAGCTAGTCGCGTCGGGATCTGGCGACAAGACAGTACGGCTATGGGAGGTGGCAACAGGGACGCGCCGCAGCACGCTCGAGGGCCATTCTGACTATGTTAGGGTGGTGACCTTCTCGCCAGACGGACAGCTAGTCGCGTCTGCATCTAGCGATAAGACAGTGCGGCTGTGGGAGACGGCGACAGGGACATGTTGCAGCATACTCGAGGTCCATTCTGACTATGTTAGGGCGGTGGCTTTCTCGCCAGACGGGCAGCTAGTCGCGTCGGGATCTAGCGACAAGACAGTATGGCTGTGGGAGGGGGCGACAGAGACGTGTCGCAGCGCGCTCGAGGGTCATTCTCAGGAAATCAGCGCGATAGCCTTCTCGCCAGACGGACAGCTAGTCGCGTCAGGATCTAGAGACATGACTGTGCGGCTGTGGGAGGCGGCGACAGGGACGTGTCGCAGCACGCTCGAGGGCCATTCTGATTATGTCAGGGCGGTAGCCTTCTCACCCGACAGGCAGCTAGTCGCGTCGGGATCTGGCGATAAGACAGTGCGGCTGTGGGAGACGGCAACAGGGACGTGTTGCAGCACGCTGAAGGGCCATTCTGACCATATCAGCGCGATAGCCTTCTCACCAGACGGACAGCTAGTCGCATCAGCGTCTGACGACAAAACTGTACGGCTGTGGGAGGCAGCAACAGGGACGTGCAGCAGCACGCTCGAGGGCCATTATTGGGCAATCACCGCGGTGGCCTTCTCACCAGACGGACAGCTAGTCGCGTCGGGATCTAGCGACATGACAGTGCGGCTGTGGGAGACGGCAACAGGGACGTGTCGCAGCATGCTCGAGGGCCATTCTTCGTATATCAGCGCGGTGGCCTTCTCACTAGACGGACAGCTAGTCGCATCTGCATCTAGAGACAAAACAGTACGGCTGTGGGAGGCGTCGACAGGGACGTGTCGCAGCACGCTAGATAGCCCTTCCGAGCACACTTCGAGTATCAACTTTTCGTCAGATAGCCAGGTACTGCATACGAACCAAGGCGATATTGCTTTGCCCCAAGCCCTAGTTAGCACATCGCTCTTGAGGCCGAGGCCGCAGTCCTCTTACGTTCTAGTACAGAACCAGTGGATATTGCATAACTAACAACGCTTCCTATGGCTTCCGCCAGAGTATCGATCAAGCTCGACCGCAGTACACGAGGGAGTAGCTTGTCTGGGGCTTGCATCTGGCCGTGTGGTTTTGCTTAAGATTCCCTAGTGCTATGGGTTTACAGATTCGCTTTAATATAAAGTATAACTAACTAACAAGAAAAAAAGAAAAGAAGAACAAATTTGCTTTATTAGTAATATTTCCTACTACCTAAGAGAGCCCGCTGGATGGCAGCGTAGCTACTCTACAACTCTCCGTGTTACTAAACGGCTCCTTAATAATAAGCATCTAGAAAGTTAGTAATAGCTTAGCTAGATAAAGGCCGAAGTGCTATAAGTACACTATACACTGTAAACTCCCAAATTGTAAATAAGCAGATAGAACAGCCCATGGGCAAAGTCTTACATGGCCTCGAGCTACATAGATTACAATAGAATGATAATAATAATAATAATAACCCATTTGCTAGAGCGAAGACAATCACTAAGACATATTTCAACTCATAACCTAGGAACCTTGAAATCGAAACCTGACAAAATATCTCTTGCAGTCCACTTATCGATAGTCTCAAGCCATTCATTGAACCCAGTGCCCCAAGTTGAACCCCGAGCGGCTTTCATTTTTGTTGCTTCATCCATCTGAGCAATTCCGGAAACCTTTCCCTCAGCGTTAAAATAACTGGGAGGGCAGTGGGAGAGAGTCGCTAGAGCACCCGAACGGGACAGAACTTCCTTAGTCCAAGCCTCTTCCGCATCAACAGTTGGCTCGACGACGAACGGATATTTGTTGGAAGATTCCTGAGACTGCTTTTCGTCTTGAACCTTATTGATCATCGCTTTGAAGAGACGAGATATAAGCTGGCTCAACTCATCCACCACAAAGGTTTGATTTGAAGTCACCCCAGTTTGTGCGAAACCCAGCCAGAACAAGTTAGGAAAGCCATTGCTCTGGACCCCATATAATGTAGAAATCCCGTCAGCCCACTTTTGATCTAAACTGCGGCCGTTTCGACCGGTGATGTCGATACGTGCTTTTTTGCCTGGACTTTCTTGGAGGTAAAGCTCATAACCAGTGCTCCAGATGATGAGGTCGAGATCATATTCTTCACCGTTCGCAACAATGCCCTTTTCGGTGAGTTTTTCAATGCCTCTTCCATCCGTATTCACCAGGGTCACATTATCCTTGTTGAAGCTGGGAAGATAGTCATCGTGGAAGCATGGGCGCTTACACCAACCTGAGTACCATGCCTTCAGTGCTTCTGCGGTGGTTTTGTCTTTGATAACCTCATCGACACGGGCACGCAATCGCTTTTGGCGGACGAGATCCATCTTTTGAAGCTTTTCCACATATTTTGGAATCTCTTCTGGCGACATAGGCGCATTAGGACCACCAATAAGCCCTGAGTAGCTTGGAAATGTGGACCACTCGTCATTAACCAAATCCACAACCGGTCGAGGATACTCATCGTGAGTAAACTTGCCGTGATTCAACCTCCTCTCTTTCTGCCACCCATGTTTAGAACTATACGTTTTCCACCACTCTGGATCTGTTGCACGCTGCCCTCTGGTGTCTACTGCAGACGGGGTACGCTGAAAGACGTAGAGTTTATTCGCCCATTTCGCTAGCTCGGGTACTGCCTGGATAGCTGTAGCACCAGTGCCAATAATGCCTACTTTCTTGTCTTTGAGATTAGTCAGGTGCGGATCCTGCTCTGAGCCTCCTGTGTATTCGTAATCCCAGACGGCGGTGTGAAACATATGGCCCTTGTAGCTGTTGACACCAGATACCCCAGGGATTTTGGGCCAATTTTGCACCCCAGTGGCTAGGAAAGCAAACCTAGAGCGGACTGTGATTTGCTTAGCCTCTTCGCCGGCTCTAAGACTTTGAAGTTTAGTAGCCCACTCGCCTTTCTCCTCATCAAAGGTCATAGACATAACCTTAACGCGGAACAAGGCATTCTTGAAAAGTCCCCATTTTTTTGCGATCCTTTCTGCTTGTGCTCGCAGTTCGGGGCCGTAGGAGTACTTATGTTTGGGCATATAGCCTGTTTCCTCAAGCAACGGCATATACATGTAGCTCTCAACATCGCACATGAGTCCGGGATAACGGTTCAGCCACCAGGTCCCGCCAAATCCCCCAGCCGTATCCACAAATCTAATATCCTCGGCAGCCACCCCAGCGTCCAACAATCGGACTGCAGAAGTAAGAGCCCCGTACCCGGCTCCAACAAATAGAAACTCGCATCGTGAGCCATCTTTAATGCCAGGCGTCATGTTGTCATACACTGGATCTGGCCACGCATTATGGATAGCCTTTGCAAATTTGTCCATTGTTGTAAAATCGACGAATTGTGCCCGGCCATCGGCACGAAGTCGCTTTTCGCGTTCATTTTTATATCGTTTTTGTATCTCCTCAAGCTCTGAAAGGGATATGGTTGAGCCATCGATAGCATTTGTGACTTCAGGTAGAGCCATAACTGAAGAAGCGCCAGACGGGAGGTAAGGTAATAATTGTAATAAGATAAATTAAGTCAATACTGATAACAGAGACTGTTCAGTCGTAAAATCTTCGTCAAATATCCTAATGCGACCGGGCAACGTGAAGACAGTGTTTATTTATACTTATTTCACTAAACTTCCAAAGATTATTGAAAAGTGCCCGAGGTCCCTGTATAATCTGATTGGGTGCTAATGTCCTGCGAGGATGCCCTACCCCAAGTCCCCCTTATTCCTTGCCACTTCCAAATTGCCGGCTAAGGGCCTGTTCGATAGCTCCATATCGCGGCTACGTTTATAGGCTGTTGTTAGTTAGAGCTTTAACAGAAAGTACTAGCTAGCATTACCGGACTTCACCACCGAGCGGCGATTGCCTAAAGGAGAATTCGAAACTGCTTAGCGCAGGGGCCCTAAACTCGAGTACTAGTCTATCGGGGATTATACATATTAGTAATGTGCATCCACCCGTAGCGCAACAACTGCCCTAGCGGAACAAACTACAAAGGGCAATTGCCGACTAGAATGTATGGAGATTATAAGAAGTTTAAGCACTAGATGTTTTCGATGTGGTTTGATCTACTATTACATTTCTATTCTTAGAGTCGTTCAAAATTGTCACCTGTCAACGAGAACTTTCGGACAAGTCTTAATAAGAAAGTGCCAGTAGCTGAGCGCAGTTTTTTGCGCATAGATGATTGGAATATATACACTGTCTGCTTCGTTTATCATTTAGCCTTCTCTTGCTAGGAAATCTGCGCTGCACAATATGTTAAATAAGTTAGATCCTGATAGTATAGCAAGAAGAGTTAGAATTGTGAATTTAGGTGTTTGGCGGTATGCACTATGTTGCAAAGTCATCACAAGACAGGTTGTAAGTTCTCTATGAAACTGTATACCCGCTTGTTTTGATGGGAGATCCTTGTATACGTACTTAGTGGTTTCTAGGCACTCAATGGCAGCTATAGACTGCAATCTTCCTTCTAAGACACCGAATATGGGCTAATTTGGGTGTTAGTGCGATTTCTCATTATAGTAGCCTGTTTTCCTTTTAATGTTTCGAGAGAAACGTTGCCAGAACCTCGCTGTATGCATTTTCCAAACTTCACGTAGCAAGAGCCACTTCAGAGGCGGGCGCAGGGGAGCTTCGGAGCAGGCGGCATGTCAGCTTACCATGGGATCGCTAAGCCGTACCATGAACCCATACCTGTATAGACTTTGCGCCGACCCAATCTAATTGTTCATAGTACCAAAACCCCTGCATGGCACGTCGGGGAAGTGGGTCATGGTATACCGCAGATTGTATCGCTGTGAGTAGAGGAAATGGTAAGCTGATATGCGGATGCAGCTTCGGAGATGAGTCTCGCCGAGATCGCTTTACTTGCTCCCTTCGTATGCTATACTTGTTCGCACCGTCAAGTACATCGGGAGATACCCGTTTAGTAAGCCTGCACTCGGGCTCGGCTATCTTTTGTGCCGGATACTTCATTAGGATTAAGATCCTAACAACAAGTAAGAGAGTAGGGCCGAGAGAGCGGGAGATGTAGAATATCTGGAAAGGCTAGAAGTATAAGAAGCCGAGATATCACGGTAAAACAAGAAGGAGAATTTGATTGTTTATTCAATCTGGATTATTACTTGCCCGCTAAGTCCTTTACCCCTTGATATCTTAAACCTCCATACAATGGCTCCACTCGATCTGCAGGTTGAGAATGCGTCACATCATCAAATTTTTGAAAAATTGAGCAAACTGGCACACACATGCAACGAAGATCAGCGTCTCTGGTGGCACAGCGTGGGCCCAATGATTGCTGAGATGCTCAATACGGCCAATTATGACGCAAGCAGCCAGTACAAACAACTTCACATATTTTTAAAGTATGTGATTCCATTCCTAGGGGTCTATCCTACAAATAGCCATGATCGATGGATGAGCATTATCAACACCTATGGATCGCCTATTGAACCCGGTCTAAACTGCAATGATTCGGCTGTCAAATATTCATTTGAGCCTATCAACAATCTGACAGGCACTACTGCCGACCCTTTCAATACTCATGCTGTTTGGGACGCCATTAAAGGACTCGTCTCCTTGGACCCCACAATAGATACTGAATACTTTCGCTACTTCAAAAACGAGTTGACCCTCAACGAAACCGAGTCTAATCTTCTACGCGACAAACATCTGGCACCCACAGATATTATGTCGCAGAACATATTGGCCTTGGACCTCAAAGGCGACAAATTTAAAGTCAAGGTCTACTTCTACGCCGCACTAAAAGCACTCGTTACCGGAAAGTCAGTCAACGAGCTGATGTTCGGCTCTGTCCGCATGTTGGCAAAGCGCCAAGCCAACATAGCCGCTGGACTAGACATGCTGGAGGAGTACATTGACTCTCGTGCGCCTGATGGAAATTTGTTCCCGCGGCTGCTATCGTGCGATCTTTTGAAGCCAACTAAGTCACGGATCAAGATTTACGTTTCAGAGCAAGTTGTCTCTTTGGCTGCTATTAGTGACATGTGGACGCTCGGTGGTCGCCGCGCTGATCCAACAACTCTAGCTGGTTTGGATCTAATTCAGGAGCTTTGGGAGCTTCTCAAGATTCCAGAGGGTGTACGAAAATACCCTAAGGGATATCAGCCTTTGGGTAGTTCGTCGAACGAATTATTGCCAACTATGGCAAATTACACTCTCCACCCAGATCACGCTGTTCCCATGCCACAGATATACTTTTGGGTCTTTGGAATGAATGACATGGCCATCGCTGATGCGCTAACGATCTTCTTCCAACGACACGGCTGGACTGAGATGGCTAAGAAGTACAAGAACAGCTTGAAAGCGTATTAGTAAGTGTGCCGTTTTTCTCTTAAACTTCTAAATATTATAGTGCCACAAATTACTAACAGATCATAAAATATACAGTCCAAATGAAGAGCATGATCACATGAATTATGTTCATGCAAGTATTTCATTTTCTTACCGAAAGAACAAGCCATATCTAAGCGTTTATTACCATAGCTTTGAAACAGGAGACTGGGCTTCTAATAAGTATAATTGTTCTAACTAACAGAAAGAGTTCCTATTCTTAATCCCTCGTAGGATTGAAGTTAATTAGGACCTTAATGCTAGATTTCATAGCGACTTTACAGACTTTAACCCTGCAGAGTTTGTATAGTTCTATGCTTATTGTTATTATTGCATTATAGTCCTGCATCAGCCGTTAGTTATATAAAACTATAGCTAGAGGCTGTTCTATCTGCTTATGTACAGCTTAGTACTTTAGTTATTGTAAAAGCATTTAGGTGATTGTTAGTAAGACTCTATTTTGAACCTTAGGAAATAATTTAATACTACTACTAAAAACCTCTTACCGAGTATATGCCTATTAGGCACACCTCTATTAGGTACGACAACTAAATTACGGTCGCGACGAAGGTAGTAGAACAGCGAACTATGGTTACGATAAGACAGCAGCACAACGAACTATAGGTATAATAAGGACACTGGCCACATAGTGTAGCAAAGCGCTCTAATACCTATAAATTCGCCATATCGTCTCCCGTCCGTCCTACCCATCTCATCACCACTGGGTATTCATTTGAACTCGATCTCTTTTTAACATAATATCGAACTTCCTCTCGTAGCTTTTGTCCCCATCTTTACTCTATCTACTACCAATCAAGGCTACCACGTCTCTTAACCTTATAATAGCTTTCTTTAACCATCCACCTAAAGAAATCTATAAAGATATATAGAGATAGAACTTTAGTTAGACTACGTAGTAGCTTCGAGAAGATATAGTCCGCATTAAAGAGGCTTCAAAAGCCAGACATCCAACCAATTAGTAGAGGGAGTTTACAGAGAGGGTGTAGTCAAAGGAGAGCAAGGAGTAGATAGGTATAGTTCTTTAGTTTTACGGTAAAGCGCTAGGTGTCCAATGGGATAGGGATAAGACTTTACGGTGTCGCAAACATGTCGCTCGTGTTGACGCTATGTGACGGTATTGATAGGCGGGCGTGGCGGTGTCAATGAGTGGAGCTAAGAATGGGTACCCGTGGTTGCTATTTTGATTATCTGCTTTACTTACTAGTCTTAATAAATATCGGAATTTATTTTTTCTCAATAAATGCATCTCAGAAGACCGAAGCCATAGTGTCCATAAGTAGCACAAACTAACTATTTGTAGCTTGCAATCATAACAGCTTACTGCCACGCAAGTCAGCGCAAGCCAACCAGCTTAATGCAGGTGAGGGCGGTGCGACGCAGCGCTACGATAGCCAACGCTCACAACGCCCAGCCTTGTCTCAGCCTTGCATTTCAGCCTGGCTGCTCGTGCCGCTATACCGCTCTTTCCACCTCGATTAACATCTTTTTTTCTTTCACTTCTCCACCCTTGGTTGCCGCTTCCTGTCGCCTCTAGACCCTCGTCTGACGGCTCTAGGAGACGCTGCTTCCTTATGATCAGCAATGGTGAGACTAGTATGGGAAGAGCGTGCTCCAAGGCTAACGCGACGCTAGGTTCGGCCAGTTATTAGTAAAGACGTGGGTCTAAAGGTGCTCTGTGAAGCACCATCAGAAGCGCAGAGCATTGAGTACGTGCGCCTGCAATCGTCGTCTGCATATTCCTCCAGCAGCTTTACTTACCTCTTTTCTCGCCTGATCGTCTGTTTCGTATGCCATGATGAGCGCATATTGCATTACGATATAATCGTGAAGCTTTGATGATATGTTTGTAGTAGCTCCACCATAGGGGTTTGATTGTTTTGTTTTGCCCACGCTAAAGGTGTCCATCGATCTCTGTTTTCAATAGACAAATCGAGCTTTCCTGTCGCGAGCAGTAATGTGACCATGCCCCGGTATTTATTTTGTACAGCCCACAACAACGGCGTCGATCCGTTTGTGTCTTTCGCATTGACATCTATGCCATCAATGTCAAGGAGCAGCTGAACCACTGCCACATGCCCGTTCGAAACAGCCCACCAGAGTGGTGTATATTCGTAGGGGCCACGAGCATCAGCATTGGCTCTACCTGTGTTAAAGGGTGAACGGAGCATAATTATATTTCGCCTCTTTGCTGCAAACAACAGCGACATCTAACCATCACTAGTTTTCGCATTTACGTCGACTTTTTCTGTGTCGAGCAGCTGCTTAAACACTACTTCGAGTCCGTTTTGTGTCACCTATAATAGTGGCGTCCATCCATTCTTGTCCTTAGCATTAGGATCGACTTTGCCTATGTCAAGCAGCTGTTTAACCATCGCCTCGTGTCCATCCTGTGCCGCTAACAACAGCAGCGTTAATCCATTCTTGTCCTTAGCATTAGGATCGACTTTGCCTGTATCGAGCAGCTGCTTGGCTATAGCTTGGTGTCCTTTCTGTGCCGCCCAGAAAAGCGGCGCCCATCCATTCTCGTCCTTAGCATCAGGATCAGCTTTGCCTATATCAAGTAGCTGCTTGACCACCGCTTCATGTCCGTTTTGTATCGCCCATATTAGCGGCGTCCATCCATTCTTGTCCTTAGCATCAGGATCAACTTTACCTTTGTCGAGCAGCTGCTTAACTACTATCTCATGTCCGCTCTGTACCGCCCAGAATAGCGGCGTCCATCCATTCTCGTCCTTAGCATCAGGATCAGCTTTGCCTATATCAAGTAGCTGCTTGACCACCGCTTCATGTCCGTTTTGTATCGCCCATATTAGCGGCGTCCATCCGTTCTCGTCCTTAGCATCCGGATCGACTTTGCCTGTATCGAGCAGCTGCTTAACCACCGCCTCATGTCCGTTCTGCGCCGCCCACAACAGCGGCGTCCAACCGTTACTAGTTTTTGCATTGACGTCGACCTTGTCTGTGTCGAGCAGCTGCTTAACTACCGCCTCGTGCCCGTTCTGTGCCACCCAGAACAGTGGTGTTTTTCCATTGTGGTGTTTCAAATCAGGATCTACAAGCTCGCGCTGCAGTATGATTTCAAGAATATCAGTCGCTCCGTTTTGGGCAGAATCCACGAAGCACTCTTCCAAGAGTAAGTTGCCAGCTGAAAATCTTCCCTCTTCGAGCAGAAGCTTTGTGATCCCTGCCATATCAACCTCGAGTGCTATTCTCAAAGCTGTATAACCATCATGATTTTCCATCTCGACTGATGATGGCGCTGTCAGGAGCAACTTCCGAACAATATCTTCGTGGTCATTTATTGTTGCGAGCAATAGCGGACATTCACCGTAACGATTCTGTAAGGCCGCTGGTGCACCGTGATCCAAAAGCATCTCGACTACGCTAGTCAGACCTCTCCTAGATGCCAACCCCAGCGCATCGTCATCATACCAACCATCGTCCTCGTTTTCTTCATCATCATGGTGTTCCGGTTCTGAACGATCATTTAGGTCAGATCTAGTTGTGTTAGCTCCAGCGCCAAGTAGCTGAGAGACGATGCCTTCCAAAACAAGGTCTCGCTGAGGCAGCCGGTCTTTGAGTGCGAAGAACACAGTACCATCAAGGTTCAGTTTCTTCTCAATCAATATTGACAGAAGTTTTGTGTTCCTGCTGCTGATAGCATAAGCCACTAGCGCAGTCTCTCGTCCAAGGTATTCTAGGTTAGCACCCGCTTCGATAAGTGTGAAGATGACACCATCCATTTTTTGCTCCAGAGCAATATCGAGTACTGTGTCACCATCGTTGTTCTGCGCGTTGATGCCCGCAGCACGTGCCACTAAAAGGGGTGTAACTCCGCGCTCGCCGTCAGAATCATGCTGTCTATGTTGGCCTTCGCATTCGACTATTCGATCTAGCAGTACTAAAGCAATATCCTGATGGCCCTCTCTGATGGCGAGCATCAGTGGTGTGTTTCCGTCGGCGTCCCTGATTTCCATCTCCTCGCAGCCTGACTCTAGAAGTACATTGACAGCGCTCATAGATCCAAAGGCCACCAAGACATGCAAAGCCGTCGCCCCGACGAAGGGCCACCCCAGAGGCGTGTGTATGCTGTCTGGATCCAAAGCCCTCCACAGTGTGGCAAGCTTGCACATGATCTTAGATTTCGGCGTCCATTGCATTGCAGAGAGGAGGTCAGATTGGAGGATCCCTTCTTCTTCAATTTTCTTGATGTGCGCAAACAAAAATCGTACGGCGTACGGTGCTAACGGGAACCTTGATGAAATGATACCTCTCGAAAGATGAGCGCTCTCTAATATATCTTCCAAGGTCATGTATCGAAGACAAGATCTCGATATCTGGAGGTGACTGGAACCTGCCAATGACAGTGCTGTGGGTAGATGATGGCCAAAAATATTGACAACCTCCTGTATTAGAAAGTCGGCCACTGATTGGTGTATAAGCTGAGCCTCACGGTCTGAGTCTTCTCCATTGAGATCGTATTGCTCCCACACCTCGCGGCTTTGGAAGCGGATCAGACCTCTAGAGATATGTTTGACGTATCTTTCGAAGTCGGCTAAAGTATCAGACCAACCTTCATAGGCTCGAAGATCAGAAACGGTCCTATGACTCATGTCTCTATCGGCAGCAAGCGCATCCCGAAGCTCTTGAGCAGACAGGGGCCTTTCGGCGAACAGGACCCACTGGAAGATCTTTGTCATTTGATGTTGGTCGGTTGGTAGAACCCCATTAAGAATTGCTTCGTACGTTTTACTAAGAGTCTGCGGACAGGTGGCAAGTTCTTCGAGGAGCTTCTCTGCTCTAATGCCAACCAAATTCTTTTCGACTATTGTATTAGTCACAAGAAACACCCATTGAAATCCACCATTGAATTTCGATAGAATCTCGGCCTCAATTTGCCTGCGCTTTGACTCTGGCCTAATGTTTCTCAACTGCTTCTGAACATACCATTGCACGTCTTGACCATTCATGTTCTCCACTTGTACCGAGGGTATGGTATCAAGTGCAAGGATTGGGTAGTGTCTGGAGGAGAGACATACTTTGAAGTACGCATGTTCACTTTTTGTCTGGTATGTGAGGTCTTGAAAATATGCTAACAGGCTCTTTGCAGGGCCTTCTCCGCATTCGTCTAGTGCGTCGATAAAGATGACAATGCGCTGAAGGTGTGTATCATTAGTTAGTAAACTAGACAAAACTTCTTTAAGTTCACTCTCGGTCCATTCCCATGCACCTCCGGTATGTCCCCCGTATCGTTTCTCTTTCTCTGAAAATTTGGCAGTCATCTGAGTAAGGTGTTCTGGGAAGTGTTCGAGCATCGAGGCTAACAGCGCACGGAATAGCCCTAATAATGTCTTCTGCAGGGGCGTCCCTTGGCCATGGAAAAAGAAATAGATAACAAGGTCGTTAGGACTGCGCTCACGTATTCTCTTAACGCTATGCTTCATAAGCACAGACTTGCCCGTGCCAGGATCTCCTTTAATCCAGAAGAGTCCTGAAGTTCCTCTCGCCCAGGCTTGGTACCCTACATCTTCAGAAAGCCATTCGCAGGTATCTACCGCGGTATGGATGTCATCGAACCGGTACTCTTGCTCGGGGAAAGAAAGCGATCTAAGGCAATCTAAACTAAGTCAGTATTCCATTGTGTTATTTACCCAAGTTTCCCCACCTTTTTGCTGAGACGAGAGTTGTGCAGGCACTATAACGTTGTTAGCGCGCTCACACTCTACTGGTAAGGAGCTTGGTAGCACGTCTTACTCCTAGTCACTCGCTTTATCTGTGATCCGTTTGCCAAAGTGAAGTTCTGGAAGCTTTAGTTATTAGTAGAGCACTACAATTGGAACTAACAAGATGGCATGCATGACTCACTTTGGGACGTTAATCTCTAAATCTTCTGACTTTTCGGTCCTCCTACGTTTAGCATCAGGACTCAGGGGGCGTTCAGAGGTGTGTTCTTTGAGAGTAAGGGCATCAGTACTAGCTAGCTAAGTAGCAGTTGGAGAACAGAACGTCACTAACTGTATGCGAATCGGGTAGCCTCTTCCACTGTGCATGACTTGGCCACCTCCGCTGGCGGTATCACCGACAGTACCTCTTTCGCGTACGCTGCCGCCGTCGCTGCCGCATATGGTTGCCAACATTTATTCTTATGCGAGTCCGCGTAGTCGCAGATGCCGCGGATGACCAGACACGGGAAGCTGTTCATTAGTCCCGCTGCCTCCATCTCAAAGCATAAGACCCCGCCGAGCTCTGCGCTGACCCTATCTCTCTCGGCAGCGCTCCGCATCACCTGGTTACCGGACGCAATAGTCCCGTGGTGCACCATGACATTTTGCCTCCGCGACTCCCGAGCTACTAAGTAATTCACATCGCACTGTTTGCATGTCGCTCCTCCCTTGTGGTTGTATGTCGCGTCGTAAAGAGCGTCTAGGCCTGCAGCTTCTCGCGTGAAGTCTGGCAAGCTGTTGAGCTTTGACAGATACTCCAATAACTTGTCCCTCCCTCTCATCTGCTTAGCCCGCAGATTTGCAATCGCGTTTAGTAGTACCGTCGGTGGTATGTTAAGCGCTCCGGTCCGCTCGAACCCACTCGGCGTAGCCTTGCCCGAGTCGTACTGCACCACTCCGCCGTGCATCTTGTGCGGCTTGCTCACCACCACGTCCCCAAGTCGCACGTCTGCTTCCTCGCTCGGCACGCCGCCGCCTATGCCCACCATCAGCCCAAGCCGTGTCGACGAGAAGGTCGACTTCAGCTGCGCTGCGACTGCTGCAGCCGAGTTGGTGCCCGTTTGGCCTTCAGGCAAGCAGGCGATGACAACATTGTGCTCGCCGATGCGTCCGCAGGTGTAGAGGTTTGTGTCATGGGCGTTGTACGGGGGTGTGTCGTGCTCCTCGTCGAGCATCTCCTGCGCGACCGCTAGCTCGACGGGCAGTGCGCACACCCATCCCACCGTATAGTCTTCGCGGCGCAGCTGGCGCGCCATGTGCGGTCGTTGCGGGGGGTCGAGACGAAAGTGACTGCAGTGTCTCACCGGCAGTGTGTTGAAGGTGAAGTCATGGTCTAGGAGCTTGACAGTGTAGTAGTCGCTCAGCCTGACGACGAGCAGCACTGCAGCAGGGCTGAGGCGGGCTGAGACGGGCTGTTGACGTTTAGTGGAGATCGCTGCAGACGCAGGTGAGTGTGGGGGCCTGAACTGCAGCTCGCTCATTAGCTACAGTACTAGGACATAAGTTCGGCCTCGCTAGCCGAAACCCCACCATCACCAAAAGTTAGTGCCAGTGCTCCCGCCACCAATAACTCCACCAAAACTGCATTTTTTAAATCTGAAAAATAGAATTGATTCTCGTATACTAGTATTTAGTTTGCCAGCCTCGTGCTTGGCGGCAGGCGCGGAGGCGGCGAGGCATTGACCTAATCAGTGATTTGATTTGGCTGCTTGGTATCCTACGCCAGCACTCTCTTAGAGCCCTACAAAAACCATCCCACTGTTCCTGAGTTTGGCTGTAATTATTTTATTCTAGATAGAATCGGTGCATGTTTCGTTTAAGGACCCACCAGAGGTGCTCAATAGGGTTAAGATCTGGTGAGTAAGCTGGCCAGCTAAGTGGTATAATCTGGTGGGTGGTGAGGAAGTTGCGTACACTATGAGCGGTATGTATGCGCGCGTTATCATGTATAAAAAGCTGCGAGGGCCGCCAGTGAGGTGGGAGACCTCTTTCAAGGGTTTGGATGTAACTTTGGCCGGTATAGCCACCGCGGGGAGCATTAGGATCCCTATCCATGATCACGAGAGGACTGCGTCGCCCCCGGCCGCGTTCATCCACCCATATAGCCCCCCACACCATTTGCTGCGGGCCCTGGCTAGCACGAGCCTCTGTTAGCATCCTATGCTTCCATTTCTCTTCTGGATATCGAAAACACCACTCTTGTGTGCCACCAGATCCCTTCTGAACTGAGCACTCATCTGAGAACTTGACCGTGCGCCGATGCCAAGGAAAACTCCGATACTGGCATGCGAATTTATAGCGCCCACGAGCATGCTTAGGGGTCAGCTTAGGTCGTTTTTTGCAGCGGTGCTTAGTTAATTTTCGACGTTTGAGGACTGTATATAATGTTCGGCGGCTAGGAGGCTTCGAAGAGGTACCATCTAGGTGCACAAAGATAGCGACTTTAGCAAGGTCTTCGTATAGTATTTTTGGATCAGCTCGTGCAGCACGATATATTAGCTTCTGCTGGTGACGTGAAAGTATCTGTGGACGGCCAGAGCGAGGTTTATCCTGTACTGATCCAGTCTGGTGGAGCTTATTGTATAGCTGACGAATGGTGGATGGATCGCGGTTGAAGCGCGCTGCTATATCTTTGTAGCTTGCGCCCTCGTGCAGCATCCCGATAGCAATATTACGTTCATCCACTGTCATATTTCGGCCACGGCGCACATTTTGAGATAGCTCACGGCCGAATTGGCGTGGTGTAGCGTTGGTGGTTGGCATTCAAAAAAGTAGATTAGATTGGTATTGGTGGGGCGGTGGAGCTAACCGAGGTGAAACTTATTGCCCATGACTGGTAGTTATATACTCTTATAAAATAATCTTTACAAGTAGTTAATACTACAAACTTTACTAAGTTAAGAGTGAATAAGAAAATAGAGTTAAAGATAGCAAGTTACTAGCCTATTTAAGATAAGAGGACAAGAGGGGGCGACGTAGGTTTAGAACCTGCAGGTACTGCTGCAATGCTACGGCTTTAACAACTATTCTGGTGTCTAGCGTCTTGCCAAGACAAAGCAGATAAAAACTCAGCGTTAACGCCGCAACTAGCGTGTCTGATAACTAACACTGCCTACTTCACTAACTCTACGCCAAAAGCTACTAAACGAACAGGAAGAAGAAGAAGAAGAAGAAGACTGATATCAGATATACTACTGGGCAGCACCTACCTATTTTATCAACGCTATCACGCAGCTATGCTACCGGAGTTTATCTGCAATTTTCTCGCCACACTGGCGCACCCGCCCTGGACAAACGCACTAAGACACAACGTGTACATGACATTAGATGGAGAAGAAAGAACACCGTTCGGTTTTTACGTCCAATCTAGTAGCACTGTCACTGATTCCTCGTGCCAGAATCAGCAACTTTTGCGATTCAATACGCTACCAGCGGAGCTTCAACTTCGCGTTCTTACCTTTTGCTCTGCTTCTACTCTCTTTCAACTTATGAGAGTGTCTTCTAGTCTCCGAAAAGAAGCTAGTAAGCTCTTTTGGGCTTATCCAGGCGTGTACTTTGTTATTGAGGCACATTGGCTCCTTAATGGGGGCTACGCTGGCTATACTCATAACGATCTAGGCTTTGTAGCTAAAGCGGAAAACATCCAGATCGATTATGACTTTGGGGTAGATGATATTATCTGCCCGTCAGGCGATGAAACAGTGGAGGTTCGGCAAGATCAAATCGCAAGGTTCTGGGAGATCTTTGAAAAGAGATGTCCAAGGGCTAAAAATGTGATTATTAATCGGACTTGGACGCCACTATCGAATAGAAAAGAGACGCACTGCATTCCCAGGGGAGTACAGCTTCTGGTGGAATTGTCGCCGGCAAGAGTTGTAGCGTCTGCGTTTGTTGCCGAGAAAGCCAATATTGCAGCTAGCATAGACGCAAGCAGGCTATGTACGCAGAAGTGGCAAAGAGCAGTGTACCAAGTCTGTCCAGACGGGTTGTGGGAGAAGAACAGGGTTGGGCAAGACTGGAAGGCAGTCCTTGTGCCGTCTAAGAAGTTTTCAGGCCCAGTTGGACGTTTTTACGAGTTCCAGTATAGAGGATCGCTTATTTTCTTAGAACAATTAGGGTTATGGCCAGTTGTAGTAGAGGCATTAGATCGGTGGCATTTTGAGGGGATCAAGGACAGCCCTTTCTCTTGTCCATTAGCTGGGTGCGATGGGTATTTTCAAAAAGCGGGAGAGTGGACGATGCATGCCGCGGAGTTCCACAACCAGGATCGGATAGTAGAGGAGTGTATGAAGCTACTCCCGGCAGCTGTACAAGCAGAGTTGGAAGGTTGTAGGGTTAAGCTAGCTGAGAAGGAAGGTAAGATTTACGAAGATGCTAACAAGATACACGAGGAGTGGGATAGAGGAGGAGAGGAAGGGCAAAATGAGATGAAGGGTATGTGGCAGGAGCAGCTTAGGGACGACCCAGTATGGGAGACAGGGGCGGATAGTTGGGCGAGTAACGGGATTTGGCAGGAGTTGTATAGAGAGTTCTGGGAAGAGAAGCATTATTAGAATTTGCTAAGGTAGCATGGATACTCAAGAGACTAGGGGGTAGGGAGAAAGAGAAAGAGACGAGAGTTTGTTTGTTTTTGTTTATTTATTTTTGCTTATTTAGTTGTGTAATTTTCTAGGAAGTGATATGATATAGGTATACTATGTAAGAAGAAGTGAGTTAGTAGTAGAAGTATTGTACTATAATACTAGTACAGTGGGGTGACAAAAAAATGTCCAAATCCAAAAGGTTGTCTTTTCTAAACGATTATTATTCAATAACTAGGTAAGTTATGCCAACACGGGTAATTGTAACGGCGCAGGCAAGACTACTCGGATCGGTATCGGCAGTAGTGTCACTCAGAGGCATGTGGGAGTGCGTGGGACATCAAACGAGCCTTGATTCGAATAGACACCTATAGGCCTTGTACGAAAGGATATCAAAAGTCTACAGAGCTAGCTACAGGGAGTGTCTCTATATATACCTGTCCTGGTCGGATCCGAATCGGATCCGACTAGGACTGCATAGCTGATGAGAGGGCGGCTGATACTTCCTCCGATCCGGCTCCGGGATGGGTCTGATGCTTGGTGAGGTTGTAACCATCGTTACAAGATTAGGGGATGAACGCCGGATAGTACGGGAATTTACCAGAATGTACTAGCTTATTATAAGAACCAGCTCCTAGGAGCTGACTTTGGCAGGGATTCATTTAAATTTTATGTCAGCTTAGGAACTCGAATAACCAAATCCAATTTTTATACAGCTGCTTTTTCACTAAGAATGTTCTATTGTACTTTAATCTATCTACTCAATACTTTTTACTCTGAGCTTACGTATATTCACAGCGGCCATAACAAGAATTCCCTTTTCTATCTTACTCTGTTCGAGTGCCTAGACTACTTTTAGAAGTGTTGTCTCTATTTAGTCAAGTAAAGAAACAGCTATTCTTCATCTATATAAACTGCCTTCTATCTCAGGAATCCTTCTACCATCACATCCAGCCTACAATCTTCTTGAACTCTATTACTACAGCAACTCTTTGGTATAGTATTTCCCACTGTCTATATTTCTTACGTAATAACTAACTTAACAACTAGAACCTTAGCTTCAGACAAAAGCTTAATTCATAGTAACGGATCTGTAGCAGTATTTATATTACCGCTACTAATTTATTGTTAGAAAATGACGCCTATTAACACTATACTCGTCACTGTTCTCCTCTCCGTCGCCTCTGTTTCAGCCAACTGCGTCGCCAACATCCTGAATAGTAACCAGGCTGTTGTGGGGACTGGCTGTGTTCCAGCTGGAGGTCAAGCCTTTGTTGCGGCAAATGGCGCTAATTGGCTTGTTCGGGCTACAGGATCCTGTGGTCTTAGCCTTGGTGGAACTCAGACTCTACCATCCGACTGGAGTCTTCAATCTGGAGGAAGGTGCTAGATAATAGAATATCTAGCGCTACTTATATTAGGGACTCTACCTTAGTAGAGATAGCCTATACTTAGTCATTAGAGGGTGAATAGACTACGAATTACTAGCAAAACCTAGGTGTAATTCGGCCTGTTTGTAATTAGACTATTTATCTTCCTTTTTCTAATCTATTCTACTAGTGCATCGTTCTATTATACGAGATTGATAAAGGATGAAATAACTCGATTAGGGACTAAGAGGTAGATCTTGTTATCAACTCTAGCGGCCATAGTGAGGCATAAAAATTATGTTTAATATAACACATTTTAGGTCAATGTGTATCTCGTTGGGCAGTGCGCAGTGCAACTAGATAACGCATCTTATAAGGTGACGTAATTAGCGTGCGCAGCAACGGCATCCTATAGCTGTAACGGCGCAGGCAAGACTAGTCGGTTTAGTACCGGCGGTAGTGTCACTCAAAGGCATATAAGAGTGCGTAAGACATCAAAAAAACCTTAATTTAAATAGACACCTATAGGCCTTGTCTCAGCACACCCATACACAACTGCAGACAACTTCGAGTTTTCTAGAATAGGTGTAATTTTAGTCAAATATATATAAACCCCTCGCGAGAAATCGATTACAATCACCTTTAAAGCGTGCACGCCACGCGCTGTGGAGCTATAGGCTGTTAAAGTGATCACTTTAGACACGTCTTATTTTTCACCGAAAAACACACAGACCAGGTGGATTAGTAATCAAAATGCCACCCGATAGTGATACTATCGACGTACACGTGCCAGGCACCCAGGCGAGAGCAGAAATCGAAGCTCAGATCCAGAATGAGATAGATATGGAAACCACGGAACCAGCGACGCCTACGCAGACTACTATACCTAGCGTAGTTAAAATACCAATCCTCCCACCAAATAAACGGCAGGCAAACTTCTCGCCAGAAATACGCACTAGGAGCAACTTCTCACCATTTAGAGGAGCTACGCTTAGATTCAGTACTCAAAGCAGAACT